GGGGGCATACACTACACCAGGATGGAAGAAGTGTTCCTAGGAAATGAGTAAACAGTGGTGGCAGTGGTACAACTCCCGAGAAGTTTGTCTTTGAAGGTAAGGAGAGAGATACAGTGGTGCCTTAAGAGGAAAGTGGAGCCCAGGGAGGCTTTTATTTTTCACATGGGTGATATTGAAGCCTGTTAGTGGTGAGAGTATGAAGGAGAAAGGGAGAGGTTGATGATGCTGGAGAGGGTCTATAGATGGTGGAAAGAGCTCCCTGAAAAGGTAGGAGGTGATAGGCTACAAAGTCAACACACATTTCAGGCTTTGAGAGAGGGAGAGACATTCTCTCCATTTTGTAAAAGGGGAAAAAGGGAAGTTGGATGCATTGATCATGAGAAGGTGATGGACTCCCCATTAGATGCATTTTATTTCCTCCATGGCGTGGAAGATGAGGTAATAGGCTGATTCTGAAAAGAATTGAGGTAGCATGATAGGTAAGTGGGTGAGAGAAGGAACAAAACTGTAATCCCAGTTTTGGGGAAAGTGAAAGGTGAATTTACTGGCAAGCCCTGACTACTGGCTCTTTTTAAGAGTTAAAATTAATTTAATAGAATTTGAAAACTAAGATTTTTGCAAAATATAGGTATAATAAACATATAACCTATAAACTATTTGATAAAGTCTTAACCTTTAGGGGTTAAGTGATTCTACCATATGAAGTAGAAAGACAAATATTATCATTACTAACCTTTTAAAAAGATTACTACCAAATGCTTTATTAGTTATTAATAGTATTTTTCTGGGAATGGTAATGGAATTTGGATATTCATTTTCTATTAATGGCAATGGTAAAGCAATGTTCTCTAATGACTTTAAAAACTTGCTCACCAACACTACCATTCTATGTACAGAATGTTTCATAGAATGTCATATCAGAAATAAAACTTTTGATTGGGATATTTCCTGGTTTCTCTTCCAAACTCCCAACCCTCATTTCTTCCATTTTCATCAACCTACCTAACCACTATCTAACCCAGGTAGCTATGGCAACAGCAGGCATTGCTGCCATCCTAGGCTTCTTCACTCCATAACCTTCCAGCCTCCCACCTGGTCAGCTCCCACTACCATTGTTCTTGTTCTCTGCTTGCAGTTGCAGGCTATTTAATTGTGGTAGGATGCCATAAAATCACAGTACTGTTTTCACTAATTGTCAAAATACACAATCTCAGCTAGTTTCTGTCATTTTCTCTGGTAGACCCCCACTTTTTTATACCTGTTCCAAATTTAGATGATTTGTCTTTCATTCTGAAAGACAACAGACCTGCTCATGTTTCTTTCCTTTGTTCCCAAATCCCTTTGTTACAGCCAGCTTCTCTCTCTTCCTAAGATCGTGCTTCTCTTGAAGAGTGCTGTCTCACTCCTCCATCAGTGCTTTTGATCTGCCCTATGCCAACTTTCACCAGAAACTCACTCAACAAATGGACTCCCTATGTGTTCTCTTCCTGTTCTTCATTCTCTGGCCCTTCTTCATTTGCTGACAAATATGCCTCACTCTTTTATTCCCATCGTCCTACTGTCCCCAACCCAAACTAATTTCTATTCACACATCTAACTTTCTTTTTAATACCAAAGATCTTGAAAAAAGTTGGTCTATAAAATACAGCAATGTTGTCTGTATAATCTGTCACTTATTACACACCTAGAAACATATTTGTATTCCCATCACCATAGAAATCACCATCTTAGCTTTGCTTCTCAAAACTTAATGTGCATACAAATCACATGGGATTGTAGTTAAAAACCTGTTTTTTGTTAGTAGCTGGGGGATGGAACCTGAGAGTCTTCATGTCTGATAAGGTCCCAAAGGATGCCCCAGGATTGGCGCATGAATCAAAATTTGAAATGCAAAGAGCCAGTGCATTATCACCCAAAGTCTTGTTAATTTTTTTTTCCAGGCTGTCATTTGAAGATTAAACCTAAAATTGTGTCTACCTATTTTTATCTCTTTTTCCTCTTTAACTTATTGCTATTTGTTTTCCAACCGCGTCTCTCCACACAATCCTCTCTCTTCGGTCATCTCCACTGTGTCACATCCAGTAGATTTTTCATCATCATCTCGCTGGTTGCCTCTGCTGAATTCAACACAGACTACTCATACAATGAAAGGGTACAACTCTGGCCTCCATGGAGGAAGAGATTCTCCTTATAGCTTTACTGGGTAACATTTATGTTGTGCTTTTGAAAATACCAAGTCATAAAAAGGTTTAAATATTTACCTCTTTCCATGTTGTTTGAGCCTCAGGCCAACAAAGAGAACATATGACTTAAAACCGAACTGTTGGGATATCCAGCCCCTATGCTCACAGCAGGTAAGGGATGGTACATTATTTAATAGTGCCCAATTGGAATTCTTAGACCTTCTTTCGGGCCTATTTTCAAAAACAAACAAAAGAAAACACACATTCTGTGGCTGTTAATATGATAGAATGTGAGTTTTGCTCTGAGAGCAGCCATCTCACCCAACATCTATACATGTTCTGTTGTGAAAACAGACATTTGAATGCCTTCATTTCACCTGCTGTGCCCAGGTGGCCAGGAGATAGCCCTAGCTTATACAGCTATATGTACTTGTAATTCATTTTCCTTTCGTTGATCTCTCTGTTGCTTGCGGTAATTTGTGTTGGACTTCCTTCATAAGCAACAAAAAGTTTTGACAATAATCTCTCTTATAAATAATCTCTTATCTATAGATTCGTATAAGAAAAAATAGCTGAGAAAATGACACGTCTACAATAGATAGAAAAATTTGGATACAAACAATCTTAGTAACTGCTTTTAAGTTTATAAATCACCAGTTTTAACAATTGGGAAAATAATAAATTAGCTATGTTTTCAAGGATTTTTTTCCTGTTTGGTTTTTTTTTTTTTTTTTTTTTTTTTTTTTGAGACAGGATCTCATTCTATCATACAGGCTGGAGTGCAGGGGTGCTATCATAGCTCACTGCAGCCTGGAAATCCTTAGCTGAAGCGGTCCATCCACATTAGACTCCTGAGTAGCTAGGAATACAGGTGCACATCACCACACTAAGCTAATTCAAAAAAACATATTTTTTTTTGTAAAAATAGGATCTCCCTATGTTGCTCAGGCTGGTCTCTAACTCCTGGACCCAAGCAATTTTCCTGCCTTGGCCGAGTCACTAGGATTTTAAGCCTGAGTCACCATACCTGGCCAGCTATGTTTTCAGTGTCTAAAATGTTGCTTAGTACCCTACATATATATAATAATTAACACATTGGAAACATTCAGCACTGTATTGCTCTTCCTGGAAAATTTTCAAAAGGTTAAAATAAATGAAAGTAAAAATGAAAATAAAAGGAAAAAGAAATTTCTCTTTACTCTGTTTTCCTAAAATAAAAAAAATCTCCAGCTAGGTGCAGTGGCTCATGCCTGTAATCCCAGCAATTTGGGAAGCTGTAGCAGGTAGATCACTTGAGCCCAGGAGTTCAAGAACAGTCTGAGCAACATGGCAAAGCCCCATCTCTACCAAAAAAAAAAAATAATAAAATAAAAATTAGCATGGTGTAGTGGCACATACCTTTGGTCCCAGCTACTTTTGAGGCTGAGGTGGGAAGATCACTTGAGCCTGGGAAGTGAAGGCTGCAGTGAGCTGTAATCAAGCCACTCAACTCCAGCCTGGGTGACAGAGTGGAATCCTGACTCAAAAGAAAAAAATTAAAAACCAAAAACTCTAATGCCTCTTTAGAAAAATAGGCAAAAGACAGTGAGAGAAAATTCACTGAAGAATTTTAAAAAGTTAAGAAATTATGTATACAACATGGAATACTATGTAGCCATTAAAAAGAAGAAAATCATGTTCATGGCAGCGATATGGATACAGCTGGAGGCCATTATCCTAAGTGAATTAACACAGGAATAGAAGACCAAATATTGCATTTTCTCACTTATAAGTGGGAGCTAAATATTGGGTATTCATTGACATAAAGATGGCCACAGTAGACACTGGGGACCACTAGAAGCGGGAGGGAGGAGAGGGAAAAGGTTGAAAGACTGTTGGGTACTATGCTCAGCACCTGGGATCTGGGATCATTTGTGCTCCAAACCTCGGAAACACCCAATATACCCAGGTAAAAACCTGTACATGTACCCCCAGAATCTAAAATAAAAGTTGAAAAAAATTAAATAGATTAAAAAATTAGTTAATCTTTTTTGGCTATTACTGATCATTTATTCTGTCAAATGAACTTTTTTATTTTTATTTTTTTTTTATTTTTCTTTTTGAGAGAGGATCTCACTCTGTTTCCCAGGCTAGAGGGCAGTGGCATGATCAGGGGTCACTGCAGCCTTTACCTGCTGGGCTCAGGTGATCCTCCCACCTCAGCCTCCCGGGTAGCTGGGGATACAGGCCCACACCACCACACCCACATAATTTTTTGTATTTTTAGAAGAGCCAGGCTTTCACCATATTGCCCAGGCTGGTCTTGAACTCCTGGGCTCAGGCAATCTTCCTGTCTCGGCCTCCCAAAGTGCTGGGATTACAGGCATGAGCCAGCGCACCTGGTCTGCTAGATGAACTTTAACATCTATTTGTCACATTTTGAAAACCAAGGTTCTGAGTGTGATTGACATTTGTAAAATTTGTGGTTTAATATATGAGTACTCGACACCACATACAATGTAATTTTCCCATTTAGCAACATGATAAGTCTAGTATCACATAAGCAGATTAATGTATAGAGTTTTTGCATGTATCTTGCACATTTTCTGTGTATTGGCAATTTTTTTGCTATCGTGATTGCATTTTTCTACTTTTTAAATTTCTGCTGATATGACGTATTAATTTCAATATATTCTTATAGACATTTGAGTGAACTCTTTAACTTCTCATATTACTTTTTCAGTTGATTATATTGAAATATTTAGGCATTCAGTTATTTATTTGTTCCTCAATTACTGAGGACCAGTGGTGTGTTAGGTCATGTGCATGGTGCTAGAAAGAATTTACAAATATAATTATTAGGTTTTGAAGGGAAGGCGAGGGTTAAAGAAAGACACACACACAGAAAGAGGGCAGCTCAACAGCAAATGCAGGCTTTGTGTCCAGCATAAAACCTACAGAAGTGGGGGGCAAGCTTAATGCCAGAGCCCACTGCTGCTTACAGGCTGGGGGGACTTACAGGTATGGGTGGGAGGGTTTTGGGCATTATGACTTGCTGCCCGGCAGGATATTGATAAGATGTTCCTGTGATGAGGTAGTTCTGGTCCTTGTTCTGGTGGGATGTCTTCGTGTTGTTCCTTGGACCTTTGCTGAGCAAGATATGATAGGGATGTTTCTTTAGCTGGGACTTTGTCTGCTTTGTGGTCAGGTGGTTAGGCAGGATGTTTCTTATGGCCTGAGCCCCCATGAAATGTTTCACATTGACCAAGATCTGCACAATAGCGGGGAGCTTACATGAAGGTGCAGTTTGGACTAAAATTCTTGCAAGGTTTGCAAAATAGCGGGGAGCTTACAAAATGGTGCAGATTCAACTAACAGTAATGATTCCAGTATTTTTTCCATTTTATTAGTTTTTTTTTTTTCTTTGTTGCTACATTTTCTAAGTCTTGCAGAAGAGTGTGTGGAATAGCAGAGATTTCAGGCACATGAGCCTTACCCCTGATTTAATGGGAATGCTCCCATGCTTCATGACCCGGAATGAAGCTTGCCATTTGGTTGTGAGTGAGCTTTTGAATGGTATTTTATTGAAACTTCTTTTTTATTCTTGAGTGTAGCTATTTTATTAATCTATCATGCACATTGAAAGAAGAGCATTTTCAAAAGGATGGTCTGCTTTGACCGAATAAAACCAGAAAAGGGTAGTGTTGTGTCTACAAAAGAACTGTATGGGGATGATGTCAATCTCTCCGATACAGCACCTGGAGCATTACAAACACTACCCACAACAACTTCAAAAAAGGCTTTTCAAATCTATTATTATTTTTATTATTATTGATGTTTCTACATTATTTGTGCCAAAAGCGTATTAAACTAATCCAAAAGGAAAATCTTCTAAACATCAGTCCCAATAGCGCCACTACCACCAGACAAAACAAAACTACTGTGAGCTAATGTCTCTAACGACGTTTTCAAAACAGCAGCCGGGTCATCATGGCACAATCCTGTAATCCCAGCACTTTGGGAGGCCAAGATGAGAGGATTCCTTGAATCTTTCCAGGAGTTCAAGACCAACCTGGGAAACATAGCAACACCCTGTCTCTACAAAAAATAAATAAATAAATTAGCTGGGTGTAGTGGCATGTGCTTGTAATCCCAGCTACTCAGAAGGCTGAGGCAGGAGAATCACTTGAGCCCAGGAGTTCAAGGTTACAATGAGCAATGCATTCATTGCATAATGCCATTCCACTCCAGCCTCTGACAGAGCAAGACCCTGTTTCTAAAAATTAAAAAAATAATAAGAAAAAAAGTAGCTGATTATGATTGAGCAGGCATCATTCATATCAAAGTCATTGAAGATATGCATTACAATAGCAAAAATGCAATCACTTCCCAGCAAATGGCAATAAACCTCTTGAGGAAATAGAATCATTTTTTTTGAATTAATGCAAGGATATCATTGGGAGTGAGGATGGCACTGATTGTGGTACGCTTTTTGTGAGGCCATCTTCCCTATGAGTCTATACAACAATAGACTATTTATTTTTGTAATTTAATAAAATCCCCATTTTTAACCTTGGTTATTGACTCATTTACTTGTTACTGCTTTCTTATCCAGTATAACAAATATTCCATTAAGTCAGGAACCTGCTTTATTTGTTCACATCTACATATCAAGTATCTAGCACAAATCCTGGCTCATAGTAAATTCTCAATAAATATTTATGGAATAGACCAGAAAGTAATGATTAAATACTTTCTTTCTGATCCTTCTAATCCATAGGAATATTTCGCAAGTCACTGATATTTTTAAATGTACAATAAAACTACATTGGTACCCTCTCAATCTTCCCAGTTATAGTCAATAATTTAATGACATCATTTAAGATGATATGGAGGCTAACCAGTGAATTGTAGCCACTAAGCAAATGTGATAGATCAATACAGAACATGAATTGTAGAAAGATCTTTAAGCAAAGTATTTTACAATGTTGATTGCATATTCTAACTCCATACACATTCTTTGTTAACAGTTAGTTAATTATATTTCACTAAAAGAGATAGTGAAGGCATTGTAAAACACAATTAAAAATACAATGTATTGTACATTGCTGTTATATAAAATAACAACAACAGATGAAAATGAAATCAATTGCACTTTTTCATGCTAGTAGCCTGGCATACTAAATCGTTCAAAGGCAAATCTAGCCAACTGATTTTATGTTTATTGTTGCAAGGTGACAATGACCTGTGTTAGATATAAAGTATTTGCATACTTACATGTATATTTACTTCATCTGAATGTCCACAATGTGGCTAAAAAATAAGAATACTTTTTGATTTATATAACTAATTGATTAAAGAATTTCACCATGGAATTACTATCACCATTGTGGTAGCTTTAAATAGATGAAATACATAAACTAAGGATTTTTTATCTGTAGCACTCTTATGCCAGGTAGTCAAACACAATGTAAATAGAAAAGAACCATGCTTTTGAGTAGAAATTATTTCTGTGAGACATTCTGTAGCCATAAAGTTAAATAAGACATATCTAAGACTTAAGAGGAGAAAGAAAAAGAAATTATTTCAAATATAGTACTAATTATTTTTGTATGCCATGTTTTTTTTTTAGTCTTTTAAACACAAATTGAGAATTTCAGTGTCTGTGTTGTTCTAAATTTGCATTAGAATGCTTTCAAACTGCAGATTGCGATCCATTAGTGATTGTGAAATTATTTAAGTGTACCATGACAATATTTAAATAAAAATGGAATAAAAACCTCTAAAAACATACACATAATAAAAGAGTGTTTTATAAACATTATTTTTATTTATATAAGTACATATTTACATATTTATATTTGCGTATGTATACCTATATGCATATGGAAATATATGTGTAAAATATATGCATATATGTATTGGATTACCTTATAAAACAGATTATATTGAAGAAAGATTGGAATTCATTGGAGAAAAGCTTGTACCAAACATTAGAATACATAGGTGGCTATAACATGCAACCGAAAACATAGTATAAAACCAAAACCAATTCAAATCCATTCATGTATTCAGTTCTTAGTGTGTGAGGAGGATTTTACAAAGACCCTCAGCCAGAAACAACTTTATGGTGAAATGTAGGGAATGATAATGTGATATCAATTATCACATGTGGAATGATCAAATGTGCCATTTGATCTCCTTCAGCTCCTCTTCTCAGTTTCTAAGTGTGAAGGATGTGGTGTTTGAAAGCGGACGCTCCTACTCTTTTACCGCACACATAAGTTCTAGTTAAGCACCAGGTTCCTAGTTGGGAGACAAATGACAACCTCTCCTGTTTTATAGATACATGTCAGAGCTGCATATCTGTAAATGCCAACCTAATCAAGGCCCCTTTATGTTTCCTATCTTTTTAATGCTTACTTTAGGAGGAAAGACTTTGGTGCACTAAAACAAGCACAACTGTACTGCCCTACACAGGGATTCTTTACATAAGAAATTAATAATTGTTAAGTACTCATCTGCTTGTTCACCAGTTGTTGGACAGATATTTATATACAGTTCATCTTTGTACAATATAAGGGTTAGGGGTGTTGACTTCCCAATCCACTACTCCTGTGGTCAAAAATTCACATATAACTTTTGACTCTCCCAAAACGTAACTACTAAGAGCCTACTATTGACTAGAAGCCTTACCAATAACATAAACAGTCAATTAAGACATATTTTGTATGTTATATGAATTATACACCATATTCTCACAATCAAGTAAGCTAGAGGAAAGAAAATATTATTTTTAAAAATCATAAGAAAGAGAAAATATATTCACTGTTTACTTAGTAAAAGTAGATCATCATAAAGGTTTTTGTCCTTGTCTTCACATTGACTGGCCTGAGGAGGTAGAGGAAGAGGAGGGGTTAGTCTTGCTGTCTCAGGGGTGGCAGAGGCAGAAGAGGTAGAGGAAGTGGAAGGGGAGGCAGGAGAGGCAGGCACACTTGGTCTAATTTTTACTGAAAAAATCCACATGGACCCTCATAGTTCCAATCTGTTTTGTTCAAGGGTCAAGTGTACATTGACACTATCTAAGTGGGGTCCTTCAGCAGCAAGTAATAGACTCTGGCTATCTTAAGTCACACAGAGAAGGTACTGGAAGGATACAATATGAGTGGTCCCCACTATTGGCAGCTGGTAGGGGACCAGGCTTCTGAAACTCAGCTATTTTGCATGAGGTTGGCCATCCTAGGTCACTGTGGCTGCGACTGTTTCTGACATGACATTGGCTTTCCTCAGTTATTCTCTGTTCCATGGTGGCTTCCCTTTCAGGCACAGGTCAGGTGATCAGAGTCCATTTTCCAGTGGCATGACCCAAACCTTAGGTCCTCAGGGATGTGTGCCCTTTCTTCTGCCATATAAGGTTGCAATGGTTTCCCATTAACTATTCCACTAGTGCTGGTCATAGACTGGATAACCGGAGGGGTTACCTGAATTTCATGCACCTTCCTATCCCCATTATATGGCGGCAAATCCATCTCCCCCTGACAAGTACAATAAGGTCATCCATTACCATGATTCTGTTCAGCCAGTAGAAGAAGCAAATGGAAATGGCAAAGTAGACCATATCTTTTCCTTCAATGGGAGTGATAGACCCTAAGTAACCCCTTGGGATTCGAAATTGTCAAGAGATAATTCTGACTGAGGTTGATCAGTAGAGCTAAGTTGCCTAGTTCCATGACCTTGCCAGGAACCAAGTTTTGGGGACACTGTGAAGTATCCCCAGTGTTGATGTGTCTGCAGTGTCAGTAAGTCTAGTGATCACTCCTTGGACCATTTTACCTTCTTCGTGGAGTAACTTCAGGATTTGGACATGTGTTATCCTGAGCCTCTCCTCCAGGGGGTCCTCTTGTGACTGGTAGGTGTCCAGGTGAGTGGTGGGTAATGGGTAATAGTGAAGTTCCTGTCTTGGCTAGCAACAGACAGCAGCACATCTTACTTTCAGATAAAAGGAGAAGCAGCCACCATGCACCTTCCTCAAGCTTCCTGGCCCTTTCACTTTGCTTATGTGGCCTAAATTATCTCACATTTGTTTTCTTGGTTGCTCAGCTGAGCTCTGTGAAGGCAGGGATCCACAAAAGTGCCCAGGGCACTCTTCAAATGGCCCAAGTCCAAGCTTGCAAGGGAGAGTTTATGAATCAGGGATCCACCTGCAGCGTGGGTCCTTCCGAAAAAAAATTAAAAGCATGAGCTTGGTCGTAGCTGTAAGGTCATGTTGCAAAGCCATTGAGCCCATCAAGGGAGGGCTGATATTCTTGGATTGGCTGGAGCTGTGGGACTTTCCAAAAGAGTACTCATATGCACTCTACTAGGTCTGCCCACAAAAGTGATCTGACTGTATAAAGGTTAAAGAGCATTTGTAAACTCAGTGAAATAGGGTATTACATAAATGCTGCTTCATCTTGGCACAGTTAAAATACAGCTGCTGTGACATGTTTTAGGCATGTGCATATGTACATACATATTTATGTGCAAGTATGTTCATATTCATGTTTTTCACAAATTATCTTAATTCAAGATTAAGTTGGATGTGATATTATTATGATTTGTCCGTGACTGTGTACTCAGAAATGCTTTGTAAAGTATGAAAAAAATTAAATCACATTTTTCCCCTCTAAGTCAGTCAAATGGGGAAATTATACTGAGTTAGGGGACACGTGTGAGGAAAAATAAACATATGTGTTAGCATTAAGTAAGCAGAGCTTTGAGAGAAAAAATGAAGTGCAGAACTGAGCAAATACATGGTGAATTCTACCCAAGGAAACTTAATTTGCAAATCAGAATCATGATAACTGTTTAAAAATCTGTCCACTTTTCATGAACTACAATAATTGTCTTCCTTCCTACTTTGAGTTATTTAGATAATTACTTCAACTTTTGATTTTATTTTGCTATCATGTAGACAAAATTTAGGCAAGAAAAATCCTGAAACACTGATCTTCCATAGTTATTGGCTCCCTAATTTTAAAAGTAATAGACTGGATCCAAAAACTTTTTATGACAAATATGTATAAATATAAACATGTTTTATGTAATTGTATTTATGCTTCTTAGTCTTCCAAAAAATTTAAAAGCCTAATCACTAATATCTGTGTATTTTGAGTGTTCAAGCTTGTTTAGAATCAAAATTCAATGCCCAGAGTGGTGTGACTGTATCTTTGAAAGCTTCTAGTATACATACCTTGGACCTGATATTGGGAAGCCAGAATTAACGGTTTCTTTCTTTCTTTTTTTAATATATGGCTTGCTCCTTTACAGCATTATTTAACTTCAAAACCAAATCTATTTTCTCTAACCGTCAATGGAAGCAGTGGGTTACCATAGTTACAAAGTAAAGCGTGTTATTGAAAAGAAGAAAAGGAAGACTAATGACATTTTTAATGACAGATTCAAAGATATAAGGAAATTGCCCCCACAGGGAATTGGGAATTTATCAAGCCGTCAATCACAGTAATTACCCTGCAAACATATCAGTATCTGGGTCAGAAAGTCCTTTCAAATTTTCTGTATGTCAGTTCTACAATGCCTCAAAATTTTGATCCCACAAGTGAGGCAGATCCTGTTGTGAATGCGTATTTTCAATTAGTATGGCTGCATGAGCACACATTCCAGCAAAGATAAGCAGAGCGTGCTTGGTGGTGTGCTCACAGGAGAGTTTGGTGTACCAGTCCCAGAGAATGCCTAGCATATACCAAGTATGTGTTTCATTACATCACTCTATTTCCCTGTTAGAAAGTTGCTGCCAACTGATATGTCAATGATCTTACAATATTTTTAAAGAAAAATACCATCAGCTGGGTGATGAATTAATATTTACAACAAACCCCCAAGACACAAGTTTACCTATAACAAACCTGCACACCTATCACTGAACTTAAAATAAAAGTTAAAAAGAAAAGTACCATCCACCCACAGGGTCAAATACATATGTAGTAGATACAAGATACTTCAAAAAAGTCTTATACTATGAGATTTGGTTTTGCACCTTAAATTTCTGCAATTTAAGGGTACATCAATAAGGAATTTATTGATATACAGTGTAACATACAAATAGAATATCCATATAAAATGATCAAAGGAAGGGGTAAGAAGAAAAGTATTAAAACTGAAAGTTTATCTGGTGAATAAGTGGACATAATAATGAATTGAGACTCCATCCATTTCATATCACTTATGGAAACAGCTAAAGATTAAACTGCATGTTTTCTAGAGTAGGAAAAAGTACATACCACAGGGACCATCATTACTCTAGAGTGGGTCTGTGCAGAACTCCTCAAAAAGAGGCCACCTTTGGTGTTTATGTGCTAAAAATTGTGTATTTTACTTTTGAGAACCATAAAATGATTCAAAGAATAGTTTCAAAGAGTAAAAGGAGAAATCCATGACAATTAAAGACATGCAATTAAACTGGTTTGTCTTTAACTGCCTCTTAGTAATCAAGAGTTCATGCTTGGCGAAATCTCATAAAAACAGATTTAGGATTTAAGACAGTGTGAGTAAATTAGTACAAGCCCATATACAAGTCCTCAAAGTGATGGACAACTACTCAGAAAGTAAAAGATCTGGGATCAGTACAACACGATTTAAAAATGAGAAGTGAATGATTATTCTGGATCTAATTATTATTTGCTAGCTACTTAGTTCTTTGTGTTTAGTAGTATTTTATCTATTTAAGTTCCCACAATAGGTATATCCAGTATATAGACCAATAGCTAAATAATCAGAGAGGTATGCTTTTGGGGAGAGAGAAAGAGAGAGAGACAGAAAGGGAGAGAGAGAGGGAGAGAATGACAACCAGCCTGATAATCTCCTAAAATGGGGGGTGAGGTTTGGGAGGGAAGATGAGAGGGGATAAGCCTCTTCAAAATCTCCTAGGCTTCTGGATATCCACCCCTAACTTAACTGGGAGCACTGCATATACTTGTGGAAAGCAAACTGATATAGTTTGGCTGTATCCCCACCCAAATCTCATCTTTAAGTGTAGCTTCCATAATTCCCACATGTTATGGGAGGGACCCAGTGAGAAGTAATTGAATCATGGGGGTGGTTCTTTTCTGTGCTATTCTCATGATAGTGAATAAGTCTCACGAGATCTGATGGTTTTATAAAGGGAAGTTTTCCTATACAAGTTCTCTTCTCTTGTCTGCTGCCATGTGAGATGTGCCTTTTACCTTCTGCCTCCCCAGTCGCATGAAAGTGTGAGTCCATTAAACCTCTTTCTTTTGTAAATTGCCCAGTCTTGAGTATGTCTTTCTCAGTAGTGTGAAAACGGACTAATGCACAAACCTTTGTTCCTCCAGTCCTGATCAAAGGTCTTTAACCATGAGTTGCCTATTTCTCAAATCCTTCCTCTCCTACCCTGTGGCCTAAGTCAGCCTGAGAGCCTAGTTCCTTCAGTTCCAGAGCTATGGGGACACACCCATGCTTCACGTCAAGATCATGCCACACATTCTCCATGGCACCTAAGTGGTGGCCTTCCATTTTCCACATTCCTCAGTTTACCCAAAGAGCCTATCCTCCTCCATTTTTTAAAGGACACGACTATTCACCAAAAATGATTCCTTATCACCTAAGTGTATCCTTCTTAATAACACTGTCAAATTCTAATAAAGTGCCTCTTATTTCCTTGCATTAAGTAATAATTCAAATATTTAAAATAAACACAAATATTACAAAGATTAATAATAAAATTGAGAGTCTTGATAGATTTTCTAAAAAGGATTTGATTAGAAACTTCCATCAAAAACTGAAACATGTTTTGCATTACAAACTTTTAAGCATTTTATTCAAACCAATTTTCTTTAAGTAAAAACGTAACAGTGTCATCAAAACCACATTGATACAAAGATTCCATTTTCCTCTTGCTTGGGGGAAAAAGGGCTTGGTTGAGTCTCTCCAGATTTGCCAGGGACAACTAGAATAGAAAGACCGAAATTTATCCTGTAGTGTATCAGTGGACATTGCCATACAGGTAAATATACACTATATTTACAACCAGGTTTTCTTATCACAGATACAATTAGTAATAACACAAAAATAAGCAGGAAAAATTTAAACTTCAGAAGTTACCTCCACTGATACACTAGAGGAGGGTTTTTCAGCCTTGGTACTGCTGACATTTGGGGCCGCGACATTTTAGTTATGGGGCAGTCCTGTGCACTGGAGGGCGTTTAGCACCATTCCTGGCTTCTACCCACTGACACCAGTAGCAACAATGGCACGTGATAACCAAAAATGTCTGGGTACAATATCATCCCACATGGAAAACTATTAGACTGGATTAAGGGAATCAGTATTTTTATGTCAATTATTCATTTGGGTCCCTAAGTTTTTCTCCACTGTTTTTATGTATTCCATTATCTCCATCTTTCTAAGCAAATAAATGATTTTATTTGAAATTGCTCTGGGCCAGGCATGGTGGTTGAGGCCTGTAATCCCAGCACTTTGAGAGGCCAAGGCAGGGGATCACTTGAGCCCAGGAGTTCTAGAGCAGCCTAGGCCACAGTGAGACTTCATCTCTGCAAATAATTTTTTAAAAAAGAAATCGAGTATGGTGGCACATGCCTGCAGTTCCAGCTACTTGGAAGGCTGAGGTCTAGGATTACCTGAGCCTGGGTGGTCAAGGCTGCAGTGAGTCATGATCTTACCACTGAACTTTAGCCTGGGGAACAGAGCAAAATCCTGTCTCAAAGAAAAAAAATTTCTCTGATATCCTACCAAGTTTATTGATGTGAAAAGTAACTGGAGAAAAAGAAGTGACAGTTAATAAGCAGCAAAAATGGCAGACATGGTGCATGTATATAATCCCAGTGCTTTGGGAAGCCAAGGTGGAAGAATCACTTGAACCAGGGAGTTTGAAACCAGCCTGGGCAACCTAGTGAAACCTTATCTCTACAAAAGATAAAAAAAATTAGCTCCGCATGGTGATGCACATCTATAGCCCTATCTACTTGGGAGGCTAAGGTAGGAGGGATGATAAAAATAAAAATTAAAAAAAAAATAAAAGCAGCAAAAAGACTTAATGCTGACAGTCCATAGGAACCCAAGTCTCAATGCCTGATACACATTGTAAAGTATTAAACAACACAGTATGGAGAAGATGAAACTCCTACCTACAATTATCAATAAGCTTCCCGTGCTTAGGAAACACGTTGAATTCCATGGGAATTTTTAGTAGATCAGGACTTTTCAAATACCACTGAACATAATTACTCACCATGATATCCTGCTTGGCGATATTAACATACAGATCCAGACACCCTTTGTCCTGTGGGGAGATGTCCAGTCGTCCACTGAAGGGGGAGATGGTCACTGTCCGGCCAACGGGCAGGATGGGAAGACTGTTGGTGAGGCCTCCATCCACCCACTTCTGTGGAAAGAAACATCCCACATCAGCACATGTCAACAACACATACTGCACAAAGAAAAGCAGATTCTAATAATATGTGCAACTTGGATATGCTGTTAAGCTGCCATTTTAAAGGATATTCCCACTGGGGATCTGTTTTGGGGGTAAAACAAATCTTGGTACATATATCACTTACCAATATAAGAATAACTCTGGACAGAATCGGGATATCTCTCCAAATGTTTAAAAGCTTTAACTAGATTATTGTCTGTAAGACTTGAATTCTTACTGATTAGAGTGCAGGCCTAAGAAGCCACGTATAATTAGATTGGGGCTCATTATTTAATCAAACTAAAAAGTCAGATTTACTGTGGATGCTGAACAAAATATCCACCACCAGAGGAAGTTCCATTTTTATCATAATAATTGGAAACTGGCATTTTCTGTGGCAAACTTAAAAGGTAAACACAGCAACTAGAAATGCTTCTAATTCCAAAGTGGTTCCTGTGCTCTTGAAGCAAGGTGTATGTCCTAAAGCCATAAAGAATGGGAGTGCTACATGAAAAACACATATTCCTCAGTAGGTATTCAGTACTCTCAAGTCTACCCCAAAGGGGAGTGAGTGATGGAGAAGGTGGAGGAGAGAAGCCTCCCAAGAAAGAAAATGAAACAGTCGTGGGGCAATGAGGATGCACAATAAGGTGCTCAAGGTGTGTGCAGCCTCGGCCCCGAGCTCTACAGAAGCACACACTGAGAAATGGTAACAGAAGATCCATACAGGCAATATCCCTTTTGCTGTCTATTCCAAGGCCAGTTTCAATGCAGCCATGATCTGATGTATTCACATGATCAGCTACAGCAATCAATAAACACACACATGGAAATAACATCCAAATTGTCTAACTTATATCCATTATTAAAAACAGCTTTAAGATAATATACCAAAAAAAAAAAAAAAAAAAAAAAGTCTGGTAATGGTTAAGAGTCCTGTATGCAGGAATCTTTAGTGAAGTTTGTAAACTGAGTTTTGCTTGAATGTGTAAAATGCAGTGCAGATAAAACATTTGTTATTCAACATAAAGGTGGCATGAAGGGGAGAAACAGGCCAAAATAAAATGTTCTCAACTCACTTAAAACCATGTATTCATTTCTTTCCATGTGTCTTTTTCATGTCCTTCTCATTTGTGTTTATTTCTAAAGCTGGTGACAAAGTGAGTGGTATTACATTATTTACAAAGGCTCTGGCCAGCCATAAGCCCCTCTAAAGGAAATAAAAGTAAACAAAAGATAAAAATGGGTTGAAAATTCCTTTTGAGAGAATTGCATTTTGGTGGAAGAAAGAGTATAAGTAGACTGGATTAAAATAAAACTGACCTGGATAATTTGCATATTGTCATTATTTTTAAAAGAATATAAAAATTATGATATATTATGTTTTGTGTGTATTATATTACATATACTTATTCATATATGTATGTGTATATGCATGTATATTATGTGTTTGTGTATTTATTTGTGTTTATATATGTACCCATACGTATACATAAAATATAGCTGGTTATATAAATGTATAATCTAAAAGGGAGGCTTGCAAAAAAAGGCTCCAAAATATCTGATTCTGTCCCAGAACTTGCTTTTTTTCCCTGATTGCTTTAGGTGTAAATATCAAATTCTGGAATAGGATAATACCCAGAAGGGAAAAGAAAGACAGCTTCCAAAATTATTTCATGTTGTCAACAGAAGCTGTCATCAATGATGTAAAAATTCATATAGGTTTCATCAAGAAAAATTAAAGATCTACAACTTTAAGTAACAGCTCTTCTGGTTTATTCAACTTAATGAAAAGAAGGGCAATCTGGCTCATTAAATTGAAAAGCATTCTAATTTACTGTGGGGTTAATGACTGCTGTTTCAGGGAATCGAAAATCCTTTTTCCAAATTCTGTTCACTCTTGTTAGCTTATTCTGATTAGATAAATGACAAGGGAAGATGTATAGCAGCTTATCAAATCACTTGATTAAACCTGCAGTGATACCAGCTCCTTCACAACCCTTGATGCTATAGCCCCACTGCTCAGATATGCTAAATGTGGTACCTCTTACTCCTGATTTATGCTCTCATGAACTATATCACTCAGGACAACCACATATTCATTTGGGCATGAAGATTTCAACAAAGTTTCTGGAAACAACCATCACAACAACAAATATTCTTCAACCTCCAAATTAAAAGTGGAAACATTTTATATCTTATGCTCTACTGATAATTTAAAATCTTGCATAGTAAATACTTCTGTCCATAAATTCTCTGGCTGTTCACAACATATGGCTGTGAGTCATTCCTACCTTCTTGCTTCATGGGCAGCATTCTACATGCTGGTAGCTACTTCCATGAGCTTCTGTGACTCCAAAATTGTCCTTAAGAAAAACAACTGACGGTCTACTCCATTAGAGTTTTCTTGTATGTTTGTCAGTTTTCATCGCATAGCACCATCATCCTCAAAGGAAAAGGGAGGGCAAGTACATAAAAATTCCAGAGAAAAATAGTTTCAAAATCATGCTTGCTACAGGCCGTCCAGCGACCATCTCTCAGTCCCACTACTAGGCCAACTGTTCTTTAATCTTTGACCATATTCGAAGTGTGTTCCACATTCAAGTCAATGCCTGAGTCCTAGAGATAGAAATGACCAACTGCTCAACAGAAAAACAAAACAGAAACAAAACAAAAACCTCATGCCCAATTGTGGGGCAGACATTTACTGTGATTGTTCTCTGAAAGTTACAGCAGTGAAAACTAGAATTCATGAAATCACTTCTAAAGAGATAAGGCCACCCGTTATACCTAAACAGGCTAGAATATTCATCTGGCAGTACTTGTTAAACTTTGCTTTATACATTGATGTGTTATGGGTACCTATTGAGAACATATCTTACGAATTCAAGTAGCTGCTATTATATAATGTAAGTGGAAAAGTTAAAGGACCTGACAAGTTAACCTCTACTGAAGGGGCCAGTTTGTTCATTCAGCAAGTGATTCCTAAGTATCCAGTATGTGTCTGAATGTGTGGTAGATGCTGGGAATATGTTTGTGATAAAACTTCAATGAAGGGCTCCATTTTCTTAAGGTATATTTTGCTCAAAAAACAAGTGAATAAAAAATACTTTGCAGGAAGAATGAATAAGATGTTGCTATCTGTAATTATTATAAATACCATGGCACAGGGCCTAATAGTTTAAAAGTGATCTCACATGTATAATTTAATATGCGCTTTGCAAGAACTCTATAAGGTAGAAAGGTCATGCTCATATATTCAGTTCCCTCATGTTTCAGAAGAGGAAATTGAGGTTTGCAGGTTTCCTTGCTATAGTTCACGAGGTGGTAAACTATGGCTGGCCAACCATCTTCTGTAAATAAAGTTTTACTTGCACATGACCAGGACCTTTTGTTGAGATATTGCCTGCGGCTGCTTCCCTCTACAATAGCACAGTTGAGTAGGTGTGTTGACAGAGAAAATGCTGAAAGTATTTACTATCTGATACTTTACAGAGAATAAAATATCTACTGCTATAGAATATACAGGCAAAAAGGGATAGAGTTGTCTTTTTACTTCAGGTTTTTTTCTCACACACTGTAAAATTCAGGGATGCTCTATAGGCAAGGCAAATGAGAACTGATTTCTGAGGAATGAGAGGGAAGTAAATGTGGTTTGAACAATAATTTCATATTTGCAATCATATCTCCATTGCTTTCATGAGATAGCCTACAGATAGCCACGCCCAACAATGCTCTTGATTAGCAATTCCTAAAATAGGAGGGAAAGAGACAAAGAGATACCCATCTCCTTGGACACAGGTGAGAATCTCCCAATTATGGTAGGGAGAGGAGATAGATGAGGTTTTCTAATCAAAGAAAGACAAGAAAAAATACAATTCCAAAAGAGAGGTTGAGAAATCTGCCATACTAACCTCTACTAAGTATTGCTTCTTGGGGCATTGCTTTCTTGGTTTTTGCATGCGTGAAGGATGATTACAAATGATGACTCCAGATATCTAATTTTGAGAAGGCTCTAAAGGGTTACTTAGCAGTTGACCATCTATAAACACCATATAGAAAATATTTCCTGGAGGACTACCATGTTGTTTCAAAAATTAAACAGACAATGCAAAAAGTCTAAAAGGTCTCTGAAAAATAAGAGCATCTATTTCAGAATAACTAGAAATTTATATCCAGGTTTCCATCTAGCCAAATCTAGCTGGTGGCAAGGCCAGCTACCACTGTTTGCTATGACAGTGACAGAGCTGCATTTCCATGGAAAAAGTGTAAGCCATGAGGAAATAGGAGCCTAAGGAGCACAGGATCAACCTTATACAAAAGCACAGTTATGTGGAGTATTCCACAATTCTCTTTCCAACAGAAGTTGCAATAATGAAAGGATAAATGACCATAATGCCAAAGCCACATGGACTAGGGTAATACAATGGGACATTTTCATGTTCCTGTAATAGTATTCACTTAAACTTACCTAAAAGGCCAAGAAGCGATCTTGTAATACTACAGAGTCAAAATATTACTTGAATTCCAACTCAAACGAAAGCAAACAATGCAAAATCCTATAGCTTTTCTTTTCTTTTTTCTTTCTTCTTTTTTTTTTTTAGACAGAGTTTTGCTCTTGTTGCCCAAGCTGGAGTACAATGGCATGATCACAGCTCACTGCAACCTCCACCTCCTGGGTTCAAGCGATTCTCCTGCCTCAGCCTCCGGAGTAGCTGAGATTACAGATGTGTACCACCACACCCGGCTAACTTTTCATATTTTTGGCAGAAACGGGGTTTCACCATGTTAGCCAGGCTGTTCTTGAACTCCTGACCTCAGGTGATCCGCCTGCCTCAGCCTCCTAAAGTGCTGTGATTACAAGCATGAGCCACTGTACCCGGTCAATCCTACTGTTTTCTTCTGATCTGCATCTGCCAGTTCTGGAGATGATTCTATTCTGACATTTTAGTCACCCGCCAATGCTAATT